CACGCTCCTGTAGTCCCAGCTGCTTGGGAGGCTGAAACAGGAGAATCTCTTGAGACAGGGAGATCGAGGCTGCATTGAACTTTGTTTGCGCCACTGCATTCCAGCCTGGGTGACAAAGTAAGACCCTGTCTCAAAAAAAGTTTCTAATTTTAATCAAATTTATCACTCTTTTTCTCCTGTGATTAATGCTTTTTGTGTCATGTTTAAGAAATCTTTTCCTGGGCCGGGCGCGGTGGCTCAAGCCTGTAATCCCAGCACTTTGGGAGGCCGAGGCGGGTGGATCACGAGGTCAAGAGATCAAGACCATCCTGGTCAACATGGTGAAACCCCGTCTCTACTAAAAATACAAAAAATTAGCTGGGCATGGTGGCACGTGCCTGTAATCCCAGCTACTCAGGAGGCTGAGGCAGGAGAATTGCCTGAACCCAGGAGGCGGAGGTTGCAGTGAGCCGAGATCGCGCCATTGCACTCCAGCCTGGGTAACGAGCGAAACTCCATCCCAAAAAAAAAAAAAAAGAAATCATTTCCTAAATAAACATTTCTACATTATCTTCTTTTAGCTTTATTATTTTACCTTTCATATTTAGATTTACGGTCTACCCAGAATTGATTTTCTCTCTCATGTATGAGGTCGGGGTCAAGTTAACTTTTTCCATATGGATACCAGATTGTATCAGCGTTCATTTTTGAAAACACTGCCATTTCTCTGCTTTCTGTACCACCACCTTTTGTTCTAAATCATGATGGTTGTTTTTCTTTTCTGTCTGCCTGTTTTTGTGTGGGTGCCATACTATTTTATTTACTTTGGCTTTATGGTATTTGAAGTTTGGGATAGAGTACAGATCTCCCACAAAATAACACTGTCATTTGAGGAGATTCTGATACAGGTGATCCATGGTTGACATCTCTGCTCTAGAGATGCTGTGAGAGAGCTCCCAAATTCTTGCCTAGTATATTTACCTGTGTTTATAGTTATAAAAGCATATTATTAAAGGGAGCCATTCTGATACATAGTTGCACACATTGTTTATGCTTGCACATGTAAAAACAATTTCTGGTATTTTGTAATCTTTATGAGCACCAATGGTTTCAGAACAGTCCATCGTATGTATCCTGGTCCATTTTATATATTCATTTGCTGATATTTCTTTCTTAAAAATAATTCTACAAATATAGTAAAATGTTAATTATAGACTCTCAACGTTGGGCTGTATGTGTTCTTATACAGTTTATTTTCACTTTTCTGTAGTTTTGAGAATTTTTATAATATTGGAAAAAATGCTACAGAGAATACTTTATGGTATAAAATCCCTCCTCCCCTTTTGTATCTAGGATAGATTGTGGTAGATTTGATGAACCCTTTTTGGTAGTCTCAGATGTGAACTTTCTGAGTCAAAGAGCATGCATATTTTTAGAGCTCTTTGAAACACATTACTAAATAGATTTCCATAAGAAATTTTTATTCATTAACCTTCCCACTAGCAACATGCATGTTTCATAGCCTTTATCAGTATACTGTGTTGACATCAGCAGAAATATATATACATTTTATTTTAATCCTTATTTATTTTGAGATAGGGGTCTCACTGTGTTGTCCAGTCTGGCCTCAAACTTCTGGGCTCAAGTGATCCTCTCAACTCAGCCTCCTGAGTAGCTGGGACTTCAGGCATTAGTCACTGGCACCTGGCTCTTAAGCCTTATTTTGAACTTGCATTTCTAGTTAAGCTGATTATTTTTCTTTTTGGTTATTTGATTCTTTTTTTTTTTTTTTTGAGACGGAGTTTCACTCTTGTTACCCAGGCTGGAGTGAAATGGCGCAATCTCGGCTCACCGCAACCTCTGCCTCCTGGGCTCAGGCAATTCTCCTGCCTCAGCCTCCTGAGTAGCTGGGATTACAGGCACGCGCCACCATGCCCAGCTGATTTTTTGTATTTTTAGTAGAGACGGGGTTTCACCATGTAGACCAGGATGGTCTCGATCTCTTGACCTCGTGATCCACCCGCCTCGGCCTCCCAAAGTGCTGGGATTACAGGCGTGAGCCACCGCGCCCGGCCCCTGGTTATTTGATTCTTTATGAAATATATCCATTTACCTACTAGCATTTTATTGATAATCTAATCTGACAAAAAAGGGTGAGAAAATTCCTCTGGGAAAATGAGCAGATGACTAACAGGGGCAAATCTGAGAGAGAACAGAGAGGAGATAAGCCCTACCAAGAGTTAAAACATTATATAAAGCTTTAGTAGCAGACTGATGAAGTAAGTAGTTGGGAATTAGAAAGCTTTTTCAGAATTTGTTGTAAGATAAAGCAAAAGCTCACCAGAAATCACAAATTAAATGGTTAAGAGTATTCAATTTATAGATTTTTCCCCACACCATTCAATATACCACATTGTCAGTGGATTATAGTTAGATATTAAAAATGAAAAGAATATTTCTCAATAGGTAGGGAATCATCTAAATTTAGTAGAGATTGCAAATATTGCCAAGGAAAATAAAACAGGTTGCACCACATAAAAATTTAACTTTTATGATTTAATAGCAGCTCATAACCAACATGTAAAAATATAAGCAATAGTTTATTGAAGCAAAATATCAGAAAAAGTTCTAATATCCTAGTTAATGTTAAGACTCTTCGGGCGCGGTGGCTCACGCCTGTAATCCCAGCACTTTGGGAGGCTGAGGCGGGTGGATCACAAGGTCAAGAGATTGAGACCATCCTGGTCAACACGGTGAAACCCCGTCTCTACTAAAAATACAAAAAATTAGCTGGGCATGGTGGCGCGTGCCTGTAATCCTAGCTACTCAGGAGGCTGAGGCAGGAGAATTGCCTGAACCCAGGAGGCGGAGGTTGCAGTGAGCCGAGATCGCGCCATTGCACTCCAGCCTGGGTAACAAGAGTGAAACTCCGTCTCAAAAAAAAAAAAAAAAAAAAAAGACTCTTTAGGGAAACCATCATTTATCTTTTTACTTCGTGGTTTTTTTTTCTGCAGAAGCCAATAAATATTTTAAGTTTTAGCTCGCAGGAAACTACTAGAAATAAACTGATGATGGTTACACTCTTCTTTGGGCCATGTTTTGGCTTTTTTTCCTCCCCAGCTTTTTTTGATTTCAGAAATGAAGTTCCAAAAAACTTTAGTTGGTTTTTTTTTTTGTTTTTTTTTTTTTTTTCTTTTTGAGACAGGGTATCTTTCTGTCACCCAGGTGGGTGTGCAGTAGCACAATTACAGCTCACTGCAACTTCCAACTCCTGAGCTCACCAGTCCTCCTGCCCCAGCCTCCCAAGTAGCTAGGATTGCAGGTGTGCACCACCATGCCAGGCTGAATTTTAAATTTTTTGTAGAGATGGGATCTCACTATGTTGCCCAGGATGGTCTTGAACTCCTAGTTTCAAATGAACTTTTAGCCTCAGCTTCCCGACGTGCTGAAATTACAGGCATGAGCCACTGCACCTAGCTGGAAAAATCTTTATGAGTGTTGGTAAACACTTCCCAGGAGATGATTAGCATGAAGGCATTTAGAATTAAAAATAATCAATTCATTAGAAACTAGCATGATACTGGCAGTTAACAAAAATGTTTTTATATGTAGGAGGGGTTATGTCTGTCAAACCAAGAGGGCTTACTGTTGTCTGATAAAGTATTTACTTTGCTACTGAGAGATGTGACGATTGCTGAGTGAATGAATGGTAAATAATAGTCATTTGGAGGCCGGGCGCGGTGGCTCACGTCTGTAATCCCAGTACTTTGGGAGGCCGAGGCGGGTGGATCATGAGGTCAAGAGATCGAGACCATCCTGGTCAACATGGTGAAACCCCGTCTCTACTAAAAACTACAAAAAATTAGCTGGGCATGGTGGCGCGTGCCTGTAATCCCAGCTGAGGCAGGAGAATTGCCTGAACCCAGGAGGCAGAGGTTGCGGTGAGCCGAGATCGCGCCATTGCACTCCAGCCTGGGTAACAAGAGCGAAACTCTGTCTCCAAAAAAAAAAAAAATAATAATAATAATAATAATAGTCATTTGGTTTCCTATAGTGCATCCTAATAATACTAAGTTGATAGTGTTTGTTCTGCATGTTGATTAGAGATTGTATTGCCACATTTTGGAGGGTCTTTATAAAACTAATTTACATTTTTTAAATGACGAGGTAGCTACAGGTGTGGTGTTCAGGTCAAGAAGGCAGGGTAACTCCTCCCTGTGGCTAAGTGTTGGCTCTGATGATGTGCTTAGGCACACAGTGCCATTTAGACATACTTTATGTCTTATCTGATAAATGATTTTTTAAAATTACCTATATTCATGAACAGCTAATAACTACTGTTCACTTAAATCCAGTACTAGTAATTTTCCCTCCAGCTTTGGGAATCAATCAGTTATTCTACAAGTGAGCACCAGAGAAAGTAGTTGTCCCCCTCTTACCCCCATAAGTGTATATATTTGGGGATCTTTTTGTGTGAGTAATCGTTTCTTTAGAAAATTACATTCATCTTCTCTGAGAGGTGCTCATGCTGTGGTGTGTGCATTGTTTTTAGTCACTTTTTTGTTGTTTTAGAAGACAGTAGAGTGTCTTTGTTAATAGCAGGGGATTTGGGGTCCCCAACTCAGGGCTGTATGTATTTGGTCAAGTTAATTAACATTTTTGAGCTTCACTTTTGTGGAAAGGGGGAAATAATTGTAACTCCTTAGATATTGAAAGTTATTAAATGAGATAAATGCATGTCATGCTCGTAGCCCATAATGAATATTAAATGAATACTAGCTTTTAAATTCTTGGTCTTGTTAGTGATATGTTTTTCCAAATTTATTTTCTTTGGTTGATATTTGAAAGCTTTACTAACCAGATTCAGAAAATATTTCCAACTTGATATGTAACCAAGAATACAACACTTAGTGGGTGCTCTCCTGGTTGTGTCAAGGTAATGCAAATGTGGCAGATTTCAGCACATTTTATAGTTATTGAGTATTGAAATGTTTATAGTTAATTTCTTTCTTTGATTACAGCACTCATATATCTCCCATCAGCATCCTACCAGCCTCTACAGAGTAAGTAGTATATTTATAGAAGACAAATTTTTAAGATTTTAAAATACTACTAAGCTGTAGAAATGAAAATAATGTACTTATTGTGCTCACTTTAGGGGAAAGACTGTTTACAGGCAGTAAACAAGTTAGTATTTTATGTACTGAAATAGGAACAAGTGAAGAAGAAACCTGTTGCATTAATATACAAAATAAAGATGAACTTTCTTCAGATGATTATTTTTTGGATCCTCTGAAATAGTTGAAAAATGTTCATGGAAGTATAAGTTTTTAAAAAGTTGACCTAAAACGTGTGAGCAATACTCATGGTTCTTTCATTTAGCTGAATGTTAGTAGATTATTTTGCTTTATAAGTATAGCTTTGAAAAGTCTTATTTTAGTGGTTTTCTGTATAGTGAGGAGTGAATTATAGGGACAACCAATCTTTCCTATCCCAGTAACAATTGAGACATTATGGTTGATTTGTATACGATTGTTGTCTGGGTAAATTTTACTTTTTTTTTTTTGAGACGGAGTGTCACTCATGTTACCCAGGCTGGAGTGCAATGGCATGATCTTGGCTCACCGCAGCCTCCGCCTCCTGGGTTCAGGCAATTCTCCTGCCTCAGCCTCCTGAGTAGCTAGGATTACAGGCACGTACCACCATGCCCAGCTAATTTTTTGTATTTTTAGTAGAGACGGGGTTTCACCATGTTGACCAGGATGGTCTCGATCTCTTGACCTCGTGATCCACCCGCCTCGGCCTCCCAAAGTGCTCGGATTACAAAATTTTACTTTTAAAACTTAAGCCAGTATCATGTATTCCTTTTATGTGTTTCTTTTTATACTTCGGTTTACCATTTAAATATCATAATAGTTTTACTGGTCAAAGGTTTCAGCGTTTATGTCTGTGTGACCAGATATTCCGTTAGAGTGACTGCTTCTTACCAAACTGTGTTATGTTTTGTAGTATTTTAGAAAGAACAATTAGAGCAGCTGTGGAACAGCACCTTTTTGATCTGCAGAGCAGCATAGATCATGATCTTAAGAATTTACAACAGCAAAATGTGGTGTATAATAACGAAGCAGAAAGTATTCATTGTGATGGGGAAGGATCTGATAACCAGTAAGAAACATTTTACTGTTGTTTATTAAATGTTATAAAATAGCTTTATCTTAAAAAACTGTATTTCTACTTAAATAACAGGGCCTCATCTTTCTTGGAGATTTCTGAAAGTCATTGTGAAAAGTGACTGTGTTTATATACTTGCATATACATCTATAATTAACACTGAAAAATCTCCTGACTTTTTTCATAATGTTTTATTAAGTCCAATACAGGTTTGTTTGGTTTTTGTTTTTTTTTTCCCTGAACATCACATGAAGTAACAAGCTTACCTTTAGGAATTATGTTGTATGAAAAATAACTTAAAAAAATTAGACTCTGCAAGAGATGGTCACATTTTGAGAGGCATTCAGTGATTTAGGCAGACAGTTACAGGAGCAGCAGATTGATATCACTATAGTGCATATGATCATTGAGTGAAAAGGTGGGCAGAGTCATCCTTTGCTATTTAAATGGTTATCCCTTGCCACCAGTCTCTCCCCTCCCCACATGTTTTTGTTAGGTTAGCTTTTAATACATGTTGAACAAATTCAGAATCTGAAATGCTCCCTAATCCAAAAGTCCAAAATCTGAAATGCTCCCAAATCCAAAACTTTGAGCACTGACATGATACTCAAAAGAAGTGCTCATGTGAGCATTTTGGAGTTTGGATTTTCAGATTAGTGATGCTAATCTGGTACCTCTCCTTGGGATGTTGTGAGGGACCTTGTTTGTTATGCACTCTGAAAATTTTCATAAGCAAATGAGTGGCTTTTAAGATAATTTATGAGCCAGTTGCTAACTGGCAAATATTCCAAAATCTGAAAACAAACAAACAAAAAACCCCAAATCTGAAGCACTTCTGGTCCCAAGCATTTCTGACAAGGAATACCTAACCTGTATTTAACCTTTATTAGTTAAAGGTACCTCTAAGACTTGATGTTACTCCACTCTTCATCTGACCTGTTACCTTTAAATGAAGGAAAGCCTCTCTTTGTTTTCTATTACTTTAGCCCAGTACTTCAGGATACCTGTGTACCTCCCTCAGAGACCATGGTGCAATGATTTCATGTCTTTCATATATCACTGTTTTTGGCGGGGGGACAGTTGATAAAGATGTACCCAAATCTAGAATATTCAGAGGAAGGTAAAAAACAAAAAACATGATTGAGGAGTGATTTTTTTTTTAAGACAGTTTTTAAAAGGGCTAACTAGAATAGCTATCAAATATGAAATGAAACTGAAAAATGTAAATGTATGTGAAAACCAGTGGTGGGAATGTTTATTTTTGGAATTCCATGTAGTATAATTGCAAGTGTGTCATGGGTGGCACTGCCAGCCAGTGCAGCTCTATTTGATGGCTTTGGTTTGTGTACTTTGAAGGCATGATTAGAATATATACAACTCGGAAAAGGCAACAGAGTAAGAAAAGAAAAAAATTAAAAACGAAAAAATGTATGCAATTGGATCTATTGGAATTATTTGGACAGAATATGAAGGGGAAAAAAGCAGTATGTAAAAGTTAGAAATAGTGGGAAAATGGCCGGGCACGGTGGCTCACGCCTGTAATCCCAGCACTTTGGGAGGCCGAGGCGGGTGGATCATGAGGTCAAGAGATCGAGACCATCCTGGTCAACACGGTGAAACCCCATCTCTACTAAAACTACAAAACATTAGCTGGGCATGGTGGTGTGTGCCTGTAGTCCCAGCTACTCAGGAGGCTGAGGCAGGAGAATTGCCTGAACCCAGGAGGCGGAGGTTGCGGTGAGCCGAGATCGTGCCATTGCACTCCAGCCTGGGTAACAGGAGCGAAACTCTGTCTCAAAAAAAAAAAAAAAAAAAAGAAATAGTGGGAAAATGTTTCAAAGGATGTAAGCAGATTTCTTGGAGTTTGTCCTTAGCTTAGCTAGGGATCCTGCAAACCTATACCCATTGGTCAGATAATATTCTTATTTTCATCACTGGGAAATACATGTTCTATCGAGGGAAGTGGTACCATCTTTGGAAACAAAAACTGCAGTGTTTTGTATATTCAAAACTGTGTAAGATGACAACTCTGCAGCAGGTAGCTATTTCTGTTTTACTTGATAAGGTGTTAGACATTGTAGTGTCTAGTACTGGACTTGTATTTGAACAGGACAGATGGGTCATTATGGTGTGAGACTGTGTATTTGCAAGGGAAATGACTATTTTGCACATAAATTATTTTAAAAGCCATTAATTCGGGTATGAAAATTTTTAGAGGGGGTAACAAACAAGATCCCTCATAACATCCCAAGGAGACAAAAACTTAGCAGATTTAATAATCTAATTTAGCAAGACAAAAAAAGTGGATTTTTGTGAAAAGTACACATTTTTTTAACAAGTGAAAGTTTCAGATCATTGTTGATATTTACTTATTTTAAAGTAAAGGCATTACCTAGTCAACATTTGGCCTGATCTAATTTTTTAAACTTCATCTCTAGGGTTAATATTGCTGATGATATTATTAATGCCAGTGAAAGTAACAGAGACTGTTCAGAACCTGTGGCTAGCACTAATTTAGACAATGAAGTTATGCAGCAAGATTGTGTATTTGAGAATGAAGAAAATAACCAGGTAAGGAATGTCAAAAATGTGTGTTAGGTGCGTTCGATGTATAACTTTGATTGTTTTATGTGTTCCTTTGATGTCAGTATTTCGCCAGATATAGTTCAGTATTTTGCTGGCACACTTAATTTTCTCAATTATAAATCCCCAAGAATATACATTTCCTCAGAGTTTAGGAAACATCACTGGTAGAAAAGTTTAAAATAACTTATTTTAAGTTATTTTCCTAGAAAGAAATTATTATGTCAGCTGAGGTGGGTAGGTGGTATTATGGTTGACTTTTGTTATTTTTAAGACAGCTTCTGTATTTCTTACGAGTTTTGGTGAAGACCATGGTATGGGGGAGAACCTATAATATAATATTTTCATATAGCTCTTAGGATGGGATAGACCCCTGTAACAAAATACTGGTTAACAAGAGAAAAGCAAGTATTAAGATATGTATACCTCATGTACACATTGGAGATACTTGGGGGAAGTGAGTAAATCTCTCAGAGGTGGCTTAAATACCATCATGCCCCGAAACAAAGGAAAGAAGGATGTTGGAGAGATCTACTTGTAATAAGATGGCCAGGAAAAGCACCGTAAGCAAAGTAAAGGTTTGCTCCAGAGATTGATAGTTTTAGAGTCAGAGAGGAGACACCTGTAGAAATGGAGATTTCTACTGCAGGTGAAAATTTCTTTTATGAAAGAGTAACTTCTCTGTATTATCCTATTTTTCTATTTCTGAAAATAATCAGCTCAAAATAATTCTTATGCCAAAGAGGCATAATTTGGTGTGGCATGTTCTGAACCCCCACTGTTGGCATCCTTTCATGATTAGCAAGAACCTATGAACATTGTTGTAATGATGACTAAATTATTGTCACTGTCACATTTGTTAGTGGTAATATTTTTTTAAAAAATAATTGCCATTAAAAATAAAAAGCATCTTTCTAAGACATGTTCAAAATGTAATTTTGATATTACTTTTAAAAATAAGATGCTAAATTAATTCATAAAGTGAGTTTCTTCAGTATATTTTCATTCTAAACCATATACTAAAGTAGGACTAAAGGGGAATTTAGAGTAAGTAGACTTAGGTTTGTATTTTGCCTTTGCTTAATATCCATGTGACTTTGGCCAAGTCACCTGACTTCTCAACTGCATTTTGCCTTTCTCTAAACTGCATTAGAGGATTATGATTAAAAAATGTGAACATGCTATAAAATTATTTTATAAACTAGAAAGACATTTCAAAGAAGTTGCCACCTGTTAGTTTCACAGACTTGGGTATGTTAGATTAACAGCTTTTTAGTTATTGCTTCTACAGTCCTCTTGCCTTTTCCTGGATTATAAATTTCTGCCTGTCTACTGAGTCATTCCCATCTGTGTAAAACATTCATACTGTTATTTCTTCCAAGTTCAGAAAAAAACCCTCTCTCAACTCCCTCCATCCCATTCTAGCTACATACACCCTGATTTCTCTGCTTCCCTTTATAAATAGAATTGCTAGAAGAATTGTCTGTGTCTATTTTAACTCTTCTCCCATTCTCCCTTAAATTCACTGACAGCTTTCCTTTCCTCCAACCATTCATTCCTCTGAAATTGCTCTTGCAAGTTACCAGTGATGTCTACTGAATGTTTTACTTTGCCTTATAGCAAAGTTTGATTCGGTTAATTACTCCCACTACCTTGATATACTTTTTTCACCTGGCATTCAGGATTTCTCACTCTGTTGTTTTCTTTTCCTACACTGGCTGTTCTTTTTCGGTCTCTTCTGCTGATTGCTCATCTTCTGAATCTCTTATATTTGGAATGGCCCAGGGCCCAGTTCTCAGATCGCTTATTTTTATTTACTTCCTCAGTAATCCTGTTTAGTCTAATGGCTCTTACTACCAGCTATATGCTACTGATTCCCAAATTTGTATCTCCAGTCCAGACCTGTTTTGGAACTTTACATTCCTATATCCAACTAGTCCACTCAACATTTCCACTGGTATATTTTTACCAAGCATCTGTTGAATAGGAAAGATTTCATTCGTCACTCATCACTAGTTTCATAGCCGAGGCACCTGTAACAGAAGACATTAACAAGAAAAAAGCATGCACATTTATTTAAGTTTTATGTGACATGAGCACCTTCAGAAATCAAGACTCAAACAGAGACACCTGTGTATTTTAATGCTTTGGTTTGATGAAAAGTAGACAGTAGTGCAGAAGAATAATTAGACAAAGAGGATGTGATCTCATTGTAATAAATGAAGGGTGGCTAATTTATCAAGGCCTGTTTGTTCAGATTCTTTTCTGTGTCCCTGTGTATTCAGAGATAAGGGCGTTCCTTTCGTCCAGGTATAGGATAGATACTTCTGGAATGAAGGTTTTATGACTTACTTCAGAAAAGAAGTCAGACTACTTTTTACTGTTTCTGCTGCCACCCTGCAGGTCCAAACTGCCATCATCTCACCTGCATTAATATTGCTTCCTAATTAATCTCCTCATCTTTGTTTCCTGATGGTGTATTCTCCACATACAGCCAGAATGATCCTTTTAAGAGGAAAATTAGATAATGTTACTTCCTAGAACCTTCCATTGCCATCTAGTTATCAAAATATAGCTGTAGGCACTACAGAATATTGGCTGTGATAGTCAGGTTTGAGACAGCTAAATCTTAAGTCCTATCTGGATTTCTATTTGCGTGGATATCTCCTTAGCTCACATTCTTACTATTCTTGCAGATATTTCCTCAATTTTATCAAATCTTATCACTCTCTGTGTATTAGCAGGCCCTCCCACTTACCCACCTACTCCAGCCTCTGAATTTTTTTGTCTTTTTTCCCTGCTTCCTATCCCCTCCCCACTTTCCCCCCCCAAGATGGAGTCTTGCTCTCCTGCCCAGGCTGGAGTGCAGTGGCATAGTCTTGGCTCATTACAGCCTCTGCCTCCCGGGTTCAAGCAGTTCTCCTGCCTCAGCCTCCCAGGTAGCTGGGATTATAGGCCTCTGCCACCACGCCTGGCTAATTTTTGTGTTTTTAGTAAAGACAGGGTTTCACCATGTTGGCCAAGCTGGTCTTGAACTCCTGACCTCAAGTGATCTGTGTGCCTCAGCCTTCCAAAGTGCTGGGATTATAGGCGTAAGCCACTGCACCTGGCACCCTCCTCACTTTTGATAGTGTTATAATTATTTTATGTATCTTTTAATTTTTATTTTTAGAGACAAGGTCTCACTCTTGCCCAGGTTGGAGTGCAGTGATGTGATCATACTCACTATAACCTTAAACTCCTGGCCTCAAGCCATTTTTCTCACCGTATGTTCTAGAGTGTTGGGATTACATGCATCAGCCACTGTGCCCAGCCATATCTACTTGTCTGTTTATTGTCTCTCTCCCACCATTCGATTAAAATCTCATGGGACCACTCACAGTAGCTCATGCCTGTAATCCAAGCACTTTGGGAGGTCACAGCGAGAACATCACTTGAGCCTGGGAGTTTGAGACCTGCCTGTGCAACATAAGGAGAACCTGTCTGTACAAAAATAATAAAAAATATTAACCAGGTGAAATGATGCTCTCCTGTGGTCCCAGCTACTTGAGAGGCTGAGGTGGGAAGATCACCTGAGCCCAGGAGGTAAGGCTGCAGTGAGTGGTGATCACACTACTGCAGTTCAGCCTGGGTGACACAGTGAGAACTTGTCTTTGAAAACAAAACAAAACAAAACAAAAACAAACAACAAAAAAAAAACAATGAGGGCCGAGATTTTTGTCTCTTTTGTTCTTTATTACATCCCTATTATCTAGATGCATCGTAGGTGTTCATTAAGCATTCGTTGAATGTAAGACCACAATGGCATCTGGCACATAGTAAGCAACTCAGTAAATAATTTGTTGAATGAAATTGGTGTATCAGGCTGGGCATGGCGGCTTACTCCTATAATCCCGGCACCTTGGGAGGCTGAGGAAGGTGGATCGCTTGACCCCAGGAGTTTGAGACCAGCCTGGGCAACATGGTGTCTCTACAAAAATTAAAAATTAGCTAGGCATGGTGGCATACACCTGTAGTCCCAGCTATTTGGGAGGCTTAGGTGGGAGGATCACTTGAGCCTGGGAGGTAGAGGTTGCAAGGTTGTAGTGAGCTGAGATCATGCCACTGCACTGCAGCCTGGGTGACAGAGTGAGACCCTGTGTCCCCCCACCTCCCCCCCCCCCAAAAAAAAATTAGTGTATCAGTTACTTTGTAAAGAGAACAGGAATTCTTTCTAAAATTGGTTTTAGGAAACCTTTTTGAATGATGGGTTCTTGGCCTTGAAAAGCCTGTTTTTTTCACCATTTTTCCCCCCCAGCTAAGAAGCTCAATGATTTTTCTTCTTATTAGGATAAGTTAGTTCAGTTGGGCAATACACAATTCTTGTTAACTTGGACAGTACAAGCAAAAACACCCGATTTAAATTTCAGTGACTTGATAATCTAGGTTTTACATGTACATAGTTTCTAATATGGAATATAGCTAGTGCTGTTAGGGCACTATAGTCTTGCAGAAGAGAGGACAGAACTTCTGGCCAGGGTAGTTATGGAAGGTCTTGGAGCAAGGGGGATTTTGAATTTGGCCTTTCATAGGGTTGAATTTGGTTCAAGATTTGTGAGACTAAAATGAATAGTATAAGTAAAGATTACAGGGAAATGTTGAATGTTAATGAAGCAGAGCTACTTGTAGAGCTCAGGGTATTGTGGGAGGATATATAATAGAAGATAATTCTGGAAATAGTGGTAGATTCGAGTCATGCATAGAACCTGGAATACTATGCTAAGAATTGTGGATTTCCTCAGTAGAAGGAAAATATGGAAAACTTTGAAGCAGAAGGAATGATGTACCCAGATCTGTATTTTAGGAAGAAGATTTTTTTAGTAGTCATAAATAGTTTGTAGGAAATATTGGGGGTTAAGACAACAGTTAGTGGGCTTTTTGCACTATATTTGGTGAGCACTTAAAATGTCTGCGCTGGTGGGCATGGTGGCTCACATCTGTAATCCTGG